CGTAGTCGACTTCTTCCGTAGCACGGAGCGAGTAGCGGAGAGCGCGGCGCGCGCGACCGACACGGCTCCGAGTCTAAGCCGCTTTGACCTTGGCATTGAACTTGAGGGAGCTACCAGGTGAGGCGGGAGCGCTGCTTGCGCTGCTGCCGCCGTCGCCGTCGCCGTCGCGGCTAACGTCGGAGTGGGGAGAGCCACGATTCGCCGGGGCGAGCCAAGTCCGATTAGTGGGGGTAACTCGGAGACGTTCGCGAATGCTCGCCAGGGAACGGAGGGAGAGGGATTGCGTCATCTCGCGCAAGCCTCGACGCCGCGCGTCAATACAGCGGCCTGCTGCCTGGCCCCACGCGCTATAACCTTGCCACCCCTCTTGTAAGCGTGCTCGCGCGCGCTATCCCCACCATACTCTTTCTTTCTCTCTATCTTCGTCTTCCAGCATTTCTTTCTCCGTCTGTTATTTCGATCGCCTTTCTATCTTTTCTTCTTTTCTTTTCTTTCCTTTTCTTTTTCCTTTTTTTTCCTTCTAATCTCAGAATGAATTTTCTTTATCGTAAATCCTTTTTCTCGTTATCATACGTTTTTTTTTCTCATCTCTAAACTCTTCTGTACTTATTGATCGTATTCATGATTCACACATTTTAATATAAATGATGATAATAAACATACGTACATGTTGTTTAGTCGTTTTTCTAGTATTCATTGTACGATAATGAGAATATAGATCGATCGATGTTGTAGTAGACGAAACTCGAGGGAAGGTATCTTCTGGTTACTGCTGCTGCGCTTCTCTCTGTTGCTAATACTCTCTCTCTCTCTCTCTCTCTCTCTCTCTCTCTCTCTCTCACTCTCACTCTCACTCACTCTCTCTCTCTCTCTTTCTCTCTCTCTCTTTCTCTCTCTCTCTTTCTCTTTCGATAGTGGTGGGGAATGAAGCGAGGGGAAGCCGTGAACGCATAAAAGAGAGAAAAAGAGAAGTAGAGAAGGGTGTACATTCGTGTGAGTGCTCACAGAAGGGGAATATGAATCTGTAAACATGCGGGAGGATCGACGGTGATACTGGCCAACCCCACCCTTTCGTGTCCTTCGTTACTTGTGGGTGTGACGCGCTCGCGCGCACTATTCCCACCTCTCACCAACGAATACGGGATAGATCCAGGATCGCGTCCATGGAGCCGCGTTCTCGAAACCGACCCTGTGCCGACCGTTCGGATAAGCGGGAAGGACGGAATTTGTGCTGGTGCTGGTGCTGCTGCCGCTGCTGCTGTTGCTGCGGCTGCAGCGTAACGTGGCCTTGGGCGCACTTGCAAGTCCGAGTGGGTTATGCGAATTGTACTCTTCTTCTCTTTCTCTTACTCTCTATTTCTTTGTACGATCTTTCTTTCTTCATCACTCATTGCGCATCCGAGTTGCGCTTACACGAAGTCACGTAGCGTGGTTTTATCAATGTCAACTTTTTTCCGAAATTTTCATTTTTTTTCTCGGTAAAGGAAAAATAAATCATGGGATTTTCTAACTTCATTGGGTTTATCGGAAAAGTATACGCTGTACCTGATTTTCATTAAAAATTATTATCAAGTAGATAAGAATTTTTTTTTTCTTTTCCTTTTTCTTAAGTAAGACCGATAGAATTTTTTACTAAAACTTAATATGCATCAAAGGTGAGATTAGAATTTATGCGAGACATGAATAGTAAGATTAATAAATAATTTGTATTTTTAAATGGAACGCCATTTAAAACGTAGCCATCTAACTATTAAGAAATATTTATTAGTAAAGGTCCTTTTAGAAATGAAATCACTTTTCTTTCCACTGTATATAAAGTATCTCCCGAGAATCATCCTTAACCAATTGAATTTTAATGGAATAAAAAAAGAAAAAAAAATAGAAAAAGAAAAAGATAAAAAAAAGAAAATAAAGAAAGAGAAAAGTGTAATTCGTTTTACAAAATATATGAAAAAGAAAGAAAGAGAATAGTTGATGCGCGCCGAAGTAACGATTCCGGTCGAAGGCCGAGATGAAAGCAAGCAGAGTAGCATACACTTCGAGATGCAGTACAGCCGGTAGCTGTTCTTGGCATATGTTCCATTTGGCATTCATCGTTGAAGCGGACATGACGCTCTCGCGAAATCTCATTCGACAGGGAAAATAGAAATTTGTAGCCGAATCGCACGTGCCATCTGAACCGAAAGTAATACAGGAAATAGAGAGCTTCGCAATTTCTACGTTCGTAACTCGTAAATCTCATTCTATTCCTGATTGTTAATCGAACTTAACTTTTTTATTTATAAACATATGTCAAGTAAAACCGATAAAATTCACTTTTCTAGATGAACAAAATCAGTCGATATACTTTCGTTCTCTTTCTTACTTTCTCTCTCTCTATCTCTCTCTCTCCCCCTCTCTCTCTCTCTCTCACTCTCTCTCTCTCACTCTCTCTCTCTCTCGCTCTCTTGAATGCGCGCCCGTTAAATAATAACATCATAAAGAGAAAAGAAGAATGAAAAAAATTCGAAAACGTTCCTTTTCCACGTTAGTAAGTTAACAGAAAAGGAAAAGAAAAAAATTATAGGAAGTGAGGAAGAGAGAAAAAAGGCGTCTCGCCAACCGGAAATTACAACGGACGCATTCGTTCGTATGAAATGCAAACGAAGCTACACTGCGACGATTTGTTACATTCTCTCTCTCTCTCTCTCTCTCTCTCTCTCTCTCTATCTCTATCTCTCTCTATCTCTCTCTCTCTGTTTCTTTGCATCTAACTCTGTTTCTACTATCCCTATTTAAAAAAACGTTCACTTTGAATGATCGATATACATACATATGTACATTGACGACAAGTGCCGAGTGCCATCGTTTGCTCTCGAAGTTGAAAAAGAATGATCGGCTTTGATACGACACTTTTGTACGTTAAAACGTCGTTCTTTGTCACGATATTATCCAAGGTCGTCTTTATGAAGAAATTAACGAAGAAACTGGGGTCACGGATAATATAACGAAGACGTTTGAAAGTCTTCCCTCGAACGTGACCTACATTAATACTGGACAAGACAGTTGATTTATATAAATATATAAATATATATATATATATATATATATATATACACATACATATATATACACACGCGCATGACCGGAAAAATTGTACGTGTGTACGATTTGTTGTATATACACCTGCTTTTCCTTCTCATTCTGTTTTTCTCTATCGTGTCTATCAAATTTCTTTCCGCGACATAAACAAGTCATGCTATATCGTTCTATTTCTAAACAATATCAATTATAACAGATAATTCTACATGTGACACGAAATAAGAATTAAATTAAATTAATCACATAGCGAACTAGTTTATACATTTGGATTTTTTATTATATAAACATGATAACGAATACTTCTCAAACGTTTTATTTCATATATATTGAGAGACATGAAAAGAAGATAAAAACAACTCACCTAATTCCATAGGATAGAGCCAGCTATTGATGTCCAAAATAAGATCCATCTTGAAGGATTCTGACTCGCAATGTAGTCGGCTTACTGCGAAAGAGAGGGAAAAAACAAGATATAAAATTATTAAATTATTATTATTATTATTATTATTATTATTATTATTATTATTATTATTATTATTATTATTATTACTATTACTATTACTATTACTATTACTATTACTATTACTATTATTAACGAAATATGAAAGGGGTACGACGTGCGCAAGACGAATGCGTAAAAGCAATGGAGATCGTTCGTTTTGTGAGAGTCAAGGAGAATATTATTATTATTATTATTATTGTTATTATTATTATTATTATTATTATTATTATTATTATTATTATTTTATTTTTATTACTACGTCGCGTGTTCATCGCACGCGAGAGAACTCGAGCACCGACACGTAGGTATATCTCAAGATGACTCAACATTGAGAGACGTAGTATAGAAGCAAGAGGGGAAAGAAGGGAGGAGAAAGAGCAAAATCGCGAGAAAAGTCAGTAAACACAGCCAGTAAACACGTCGTATTCTTAGTATCAAAATACAATACGATGAAAATGACGAAGACGACGAAGACGACGACAACGACGGCGACACGACAACGACGACGACGACGACGGCGACGGCGACGACGACGACGACGAAGAAAAAGAAAAAGAGAATAGTTACGATAAAAAATAATGTACTGGGTGATCCGAGAATAACGTTATCGTGTGGGAGTAAAGGGTCGACTTCTAGCGAATCAGTTCGTCGCAATTTAACGATGTTTATCCTTCTTTAGATAGATGTATATAACTATATTACTTCGCTTCTACGTCGTCGTTTATTCTTCAATATCTTCTTTTTCTTCTTTTTAGGGATGAAGAAAAAAAAAAGCAAACACGTTCTTTTTTTTTATTCTCGAAAGTTTACCAATCATGGATTATCGGAAAGTAAGAGGAGAGTCACTCTTCTTTCTTTTTCTATATTCATATCAACAATGTGTATGTAAGTGTATACGAGAGAGAGAGAGAGAGAGAGAGAGAGAGAGAGAGAGAGAGAGAGAGAGAGAGAGAAAGAGAGAGAGAAAGGATAACTATTTGATTGCAAGAGCGTTACATATGAGCGGACAAATATTTCGTCCATAAATTCATGCATACTCATAAATCGATGGATTTTGCGATAATTCCCTCATAATTCATTAGTTTCATACGTTGTCTCTCTTCCCCCCTCTCTCTCCTTCCCGCATCGACGTTTTCATGTGATAATGATTACAATTAATCTTTTAACCTAATATAGCGATTCTAATGAGATGATAAAAAGAAATAATTTGTGGTATATCGTAATTTTGATAATCGTTAAAGGAAGAAAATAAAGGATGAGAAATTATGATCTTCTTTAAAGGACAAATTGTGATACAAATTAGAGATTAAAATCGTAATGGTTATACCTAAAGCGAATCACTTCCATGGAAAAGTCGGTGATACGATCGTAAAGTGTATTATTATTATTATTATTATTATTATTTTTAAAAATGTCAACAAGATTTACGAAAGTAGGCGTGAATTTTGTCCGTTTGGAGATTATACGAACTTAACGGACACGAGTGTTTCGATAGAACACGCGATATATTTCATCGTTCAATTTTTTCTTTTTTCTTCTTTTTCTTTTTTTCTATGTATTGTTTTATTTTCAATTATACACTGTTTTTCGTTTCTGTCGTAAAAAATTCGGTATGAATTTTCTTTTCTCATTTTCATAAAATTATTTGCCTTCAAGAAAATTTCTTAAACACGAAAAAAAATTATCTCCGTTGTATTATAAAACAAATGATTTTGTACATTTTAAAAACCGATAAATTTTTTTTTCGGTGCTATCCGTTTCTTATCATATTATAATTACGATACAAATTGCACGGTGCAACCGTTTCATCATTCTACTCACGGATAATATATTATCCTCCGCTGAAACATATTTATATTTTTAGTAAAACGTTTAGTTTTTCTTTGCATATCGTTAAATAAAAACATGAAATCGAGAAAGAAAAATACTCGCAGACGAACAAATGAAGATACCGCATTAAAAATATTATAATAATAATATATATATGCAAGATAATATAAAAAAATTGTATTTTTTTTCGTTCAATTTATCTCTTACACACACACACACACACACACACACACACACACGACATTCGTATAAAAATCATGAACGGATAATATTAGACTTTTCAAAATTTAAATCGAAATTTACATGTAAATACCGTTCCATCTATTATATGAAAAAACAAAGAAAAAAAAAAAAAAAAAGAAAAAAGAAAAAAATTATTATAAATTCTCAAATACACGGAAGAAGTCGAAAGGATTGATCTAATTTAAATTCATTAAAATGATATAAATGTAAAAAAAAAGAAAGAAAAAAGAAAAAAGAATATAAACAATGGCCATGTTTCATCATATTTAACGAAGTGTTATTCGTGTTCACGTCAACTCTGAGATTCCTCCCTGCTTTTTTGGTCGATTAAAATTGTTATTTTTTTCGAAAGTGTATAAATATAAGAATCCGTAAACGTCGAAGCATATTTAAAAAAAAAAAAAAACGAAAGAAAAATCTCTTCATTTTCAACTAACGATTAATACAATAAAGTATCATTAAAAGTATAATTGTTCGCACTTGGAGTTTGAACAAGATTATTTCAAGTGAAACTCTTAAAAGGAAATCCGTTCCCTAATAGAACAATAATTAATCAGAAAGGCAAGAAAGTTTTTTGTTTTCTTTCTTTTTCACTCGTAAAACAAAACCTCGGTAAACTGCCGATCACGTGATATTCTATTTTTAATGGACGTCGTGATATTTATAAAATATGAATTATGATCGTTAATAACGTAAGTTAAAACTTTGACCTCTATCCTCTTTAAAAATAATCGATTACGAAGAAACGATTTTATATGATATTATAGATAGGTTCGAAAATTAATTCTTATATCTACGATGTCATGATATTGATAATAATAAATTGTATTATGAAATATAATTTTCGATGAGATGACTTTTAATCTAACGTATGTCCATGTCATTTGAACATTCTTACTAATAGGATCAACGTATAGGAAGTTATTAAAAGCGAGATGAAACGAAAATAAACTAACAAAAGATTTCTTTCTTTCCTACTCTCTCTCCCTTTCTCTCCCTCCCTCACTCCCCCCCCTCTCTCTCTATTTCTTTCTCGAGAATTTTGATCACGTGTAAATATACTTTCTATATAAATTTACTCACGAGCATCTCAGAGATCTTGCTTGTGACGTATATAATCGATCGAAAACGTGGGCTCGTTCCACAAATTTATTTCAAGTTCATCGTAATAATATACTCTTTGATTGAAATCGTCAATGATTAATACCCGTTGACATCGCACTTCCTTCTTCACTTGAAATTTCCATCCATCCATCCACACTTTTTACTCATTTTTTCCGTTTTTCTCTTAAAAAAGAAAAAAAAAAGAAAATAATAGTAATAATAATAATCATAATAACAATAATAATAATAATAATAATAATAATAATAATAATAATAATAATAATAATAATAATAATAATAATAATAATAATAATAATAATAATAATAATAATAATAATAATAATAATAATAATAATAATAATAATAATAATAATAATAATAATAATAATAATAATAATAATAATAATAATAATAATAATAATAATAATAATAATAATAATAATAATAATAATAATAATAATAATAATAATAATAATAATAATAATAATAATAATATAAGTAATAATAAATAAATAAATAAATAAGAAAGAAAAAATGAATAGAAAAAAAAGAAAAGAAAACCTATTAAAAAGATTTTACAAATCTAATGTAATTTTCCGTCGCGTTGCATCTTCGATAACGAACGATAAGCGTAGAACTTTTCCACTTGAAGGTTGTCCATTTTTTCTCTCTCTCCCTTTCTTCCCCACTCTTGTAACGTTTACGAATGAAACCATTCATGTTGCCTCTTATACACCACGAAGATAATAATCATCGTAAAATTTATCATTGAAAAATCCTAAATGAACGATCTCTTTCTCATGTCGGTGTCATCAATGACACCAACAGCCAGCTGGTTATCTTCTAATCGATTGAAGGACTTGCCGAGAAGCATCTGAGAAGTGAGGAAGTAATAAAAAAAAAAGAATGAGTGTTTCCGAGAGAGTGAGAAAGAGAAAGAAAGAGAACACCTACGACCTTTACGATCGCCCGGTGATTCGACTTCTCCGACGTAACGCACCGGATCTAACCTCCTCTACTTCCACCCACCCCCCGCTCTTCCCATACCTTGTTTTCCTCTCCTCCACTAGCAACCCCAAATGCCTCACTTTCCTTGAGTCCTTCCTTTCTCTCTTTCTCCTTCTCTCCCTCCTTCTTCCTCCCTTCTCCCCACCTCTCTCTCTCTTTCTCTCTCTTACTCTCCTCCTCCAATGACTTTGTTTTTGTGCCCTCTTTTGTGCACTCTCTTTCTCATGCGCGCAGATCAAGGAGGGGGATGCCTACTGGTACGGCCCGGTAACGCGAAAGGGATGGCAATGCACTTACCCCCGCCTTTGGGGGCGGTCCTTTCTCCTTCCATCTCATCTACCCTTCTCTCTCTCTCTCTCTCTCTTTCTCTTTCTCTCTCTCATGTGACCGATACGGCCTGTCCTTTACCTTGTGCTGCTCTCTGTGCCCTTTATATCTTCGAGTCGCGAATGGCGATTTTCGTCGATCTTATACAACAGCCTTTTTCCAATCGAACCATTGCTATTGTCTCTGTTGTCCAGTATCCTTTTTTCGTTCTTGATATCCTTTGAGTTTATACATATCACTAATATTACATGACTCTCCTTCATTCGTCTTTTTTTGTTTAACTTTTGTTTTCAGGGTAGAAACTAATTAGCTTCGAATTTGTTTTTGATCTTTTTTTTTGTTTTTTTTTTCCTTCTTTTTTCCTCTTTATCATCATTATTATTACTGTTATTATAATCTGTTTTGATATCCTTTGATCGAATTACAAATTATTATCTTTCTTCTTTTTCTCATTTTGAATATTAATCTTTCTTCGGTACGATTGATTAACATTATCCTTTATTCCCGTTATTCAGAAAAAAACGATTAACTATTTAATCTTTTTTTTTAATTCTTTTCTGATAAACAGAGAGAAAGAATCCCGATGAAATCACAAGACCCATGTAACCGATAATGCGTCCACCCTACGACGGACGCATGGCTATCGATTTTTATATACCATTGTCATTCGCACTCGCGCAATGCCCATTTGCGAGCGAACAATCTTCCTAGTCGGTATTTCTGATAATGCGGGCGTGCCCCTATCTCCGTAATCGTTTTTGTGATATTTTCTCCTTGACATTTTTTTATTGTACTATTTCTCTTCGACATCTAATATTATTAATTTATCTAATATTATTAGATAAATGTGATAACGATAAATTTTTTATGAGAAAAATCAAGTTGTAAATAAAAAAATAAATAAATAAATAAATAAATAAATAAA